TTCCTCACCCCAAGATGTATTGTTCCCTAGAGCCAAAGAATTTTCTGGAGACTGGGAGGCCCAGAAGACCATGAAGAATACCAGTATTACTTAGAATATGAATACACACACACACACACACACACACACACAATATGTGTATATGTACGCACATATGCATGCATACACACATACATACACACACATATATATGTATATGCATGTGTGTGTATGTATACACACACACACACACACACACACACACACACACACACACACGTTTCTTTCCTCCAAGGGACTCAAATATCCTATGTACTATCTCTCTTTTTAATTTTTTTGGCAGAATGGTAAATTTAAGCATTAAATGATTTACCCGGGAATACTTGTTAGTTTCAGGAACTGGATTGGAAACAAGATCTCCTATCTCCTATTGTAGGGCTTCTCCCCCCCCCCCCCTTAAACTGTAAGGCTTGTTTCCAAGCTGTGATTTGTCCTGGATAAACATTTGAAGGATTATCATAATCTTGGATGAGCTAAGCTGGGAATTGCTGGTGTCTTTTTTACCTGTTTAAGTCATACATTATTTTCATAACACTGTTACAGAACATGTGGGAAAATGATCCCCCCCCACTGTCAAAAGACCATCTGCTGTTCGAGAAGACTTTTCTAGAATTTGTCAGTAAAATCATTTTTCTATTTCCAGATAGCAACATATTTATTTTAATAAGATTTTCCTGAGAAGCTACTTCCCCCCCCACCCTTAGCATATTTTCCCAGGCTAATGTAGGATTTGCTTGGTATTTTTCTTCTTGGTAAGAGTGGGAGTAGTTTCTTTCAGGAATGGAGATGTCAGTGTTAGTGCCTATTCATTTCCTTTCCAATTTCACAGAGAAAAAAAATCAAATTCATCACTTCAGGGTTCATCGTGATGCCACACCTCCTTCTCTCTCTCTCTCTCTCTCTCTCTCTCTCTCTCTCTCTCTCTCTCTCTCTCTCTCTCTCTCACACACACACACACACCACACACACACACACACACAGAGTTGTATTCACAGGATCATACATTTAGGGGCCTGGATGGAATTTTAGAAATCTCTTCTCGGGAAAATCTTATTAAAGTAAATATGTTACTATCTAGAAATAACAGATAAAGAAACTGAGACACTCAGAGAGATTAAATAATTGCCCAAAGTCATACCACCAGCAATAAATGATTGAGTCAAGATTTGAACCCTGGTCTCCTGATTACAGATACAGTGCTGTTTCCATTGTACTGAAATTCAATTTTTAAAACTTTGAGTGGATTCTCTCAGCTTAGTGTATTATAGCTATTGCCGAAGAAGAGAATAGGAGCATGCTTTAAAAAAGTAGGGGATAGGGTAAGCTAAGTTACTTTTCATTGAGGGAATATGTCAGGAGTAGAGAATTCTGCACATTCATTCATTCAACAAACATTCATCAGATGCCTTCTCTGTACATTGTTCTATTTTAGTTACTAGGGAACATAAAAAAAAAGAAATAATATGAAGTCATTACTTTTATAAGAACTTAGTATATGTGTTTATATACAAATATATATTTATTCTCATATATATGCAAACATACCCATATATGCATATATATATATATATAATACAAATAGAAATATGAAGTCACAACCCTTAAAAGACTTTCATGTATATACATACATGCATGTTCATCGCATATTTATATCTGTGTTTATATATATATATACACATTCTCTTTAATATACATATATGTGCATGTATATATATATAAACACATTCATATATAAGTATATATAATACAAGTAGAAATATGTGAAGTATAAAGTGTTGATAGAGCAGGTGCCTCTTATGTGGACAGTAAAGGTAATGAGTTGCTTTAGGGCATTCTAAAGGTATAAGAATATCCCTTTAGTCACAAAAGAAAACGGGAAAGCAGGACAGGATACATACAGAGTTGTGATTTTTGTTTGTTTGTTTTTTTCTCTCTGCATTCCTTTCACCAGTCTGAGCTAATATTTTCTCTATTCCACCCGACTCAAAGGTAAAGGGGAATATAGAGAGAGTCTTGCCCCAGTGGCCTTAACTGCCCTCTCAGGAGCTCCTGAATCTCTCCATTGACCACTTGATGGTCATTGTCAGCAGCAGTGATGATTTCTTTGGAGTGTACCATTCAGACTTCCCCTTGTCCCTATCTCATGGAGAAAGATGGTAGGCATGAGAGTGCTCTGGCAACATGAAGCCCTGTATCATCAATGCCTTATCAGTAGTATCTGAAAAGATTTTCCCAAATGTTGCAATGTGCTTATGGTTCCTTTGACCATTCTTGGGCCATTACTTCATTTTCTTTATTGAGAGCAGGGTCTCCCGAGTTGTGCTCTGCACAGAATATTCAGTTTCATCTCCCAAATGAGAGAAGGAATTGTACTAGCTGTCACAGACTCTGACTTAATTAGCCTTTCATTCCAGAGACCAATTGGGAGTCAGTCCTGAAGTTGTTAAGCAAAATGGGTCTGGTGGCATTAGCTCAGATGCTGAAGGACAGTAAACTCTTTCCCCATTAGGTACAGTTTAATAGTCTGCTCAAGAGAGTAGGCGAAACCAAGCTATCATGGAAACAGAGAGTGACCTTTCTGTCTCTAGAGGTAAGAAAGGGAGATTGGAGCTGCCGGGGCAGAAAAGATACTTTGGGGCCAGGTTGTACAATGCAACTTGAACCCCCAGCTGCCTGAACTATATTTGGCCTCTGCAAAGTTAGATGTACAATACAACCAGATCATTAACTTTCATGACCACAGAAATTCTCCAGAAATTAACACAAAAATCAAGCTGGATACGATTGGAACCAGTTGAGTAAGCATGAACCTTCTTTAGGGATTTCCCATGAAAAATAAATACTTTAAATAGGCTGTCCATTAAGTGGCTAAGTTTTATGTCCTCTAGTGTGTTCAATTACAGTGGAACCCCACTCCCAAGAAAAAAAGAAAGAAAGGAGAAAAAAAGGAAGGAAGGAAGGACAGACACATCAAGAAAGCAAAGCCTCTCAGGGAGCTCAAAATGCACATGGGCTAAACCTCATCTGGCTATTACTGACTTGGATGGCTCCTGTTCAGGAATTTTGCAAAGCCATTTAGCTTCCTAGCACTGCCATTATCACAAAGCATTATTAAGTACATCTCAATGTCCCACTGTGTTCAGTACTGTACAAAGAGAATTGAACAAATACAGGGTTTATCTGGGTCAGAGGTGGAGAGGGATGTTAGAGTCTAAGGAGAAAACACTAACAAATAGGGTGTAAATAGATAGTGCAAAAACAAAGGATAAATGGCAAATAGCAGGAATAGAAGGGAATCACATAGTTTTTAGTCATTTGCTCAAGGAAATAACTAACTGCACATGTGTACCATGTGGCACTCTAATAGGCTGTGAATTTCAGTTTATATGATTACAAATTTTCTTCTCTGTTAAAGTGGCCATAATGTTTTCTTTTTTGGGTTTGGTTGGGCTCTTTAAAAAAACAAGCTAAAAAGGGACTGAGACTTCTAGCTCAGAGCTTGGGCAGCCCCGGTGCTATTCAGCCTTTCCCCTAGGGCCCCAGAAGACCGTCTTACTCCCACCAGAGCTCCTGTGGGGGCCCTTCTGTCTATTCCTGACCTTTTAGTGGAGAAAAGAAAAAAACAACAACGACGTTATTCCCTTAGGCTACTGTGGAAGAAAGGAAAAGCAGCATTGAGAGTTGCCTAACAAATGGTGATCCAAAGGTATCAGTTGCCCAGAAAACATTCCGTGGTGTCTAGTAAGTAGTTCAAATTCTCTTAAAATCCAGTATGGTCTCACAAGGTGGTTGTGAGGTTTAGATGAGCCTCTTGTGTGCACAGGTGGTTTGCAAACCCTCAAGGTGCTTTATAAATGTCAGTCATCATTATTGTATCTCATTTGTACTCTTGCATTCATACTTGAAATACACATCCACACGCTGTTCACTCTTAAGAAAGGTACATGACCATACCTTCTCCTGTAACTTGTCCATATTACAGGTTTTATTGTCTCATTTTATATGCAAAGTTAGCACTACTAAAGGAAATATATTAGGAGTCTTCTACAGGACACTCACAGGTAAGCTGCAGGCCACTTGGGCACAAGTGTCTAAATAAGGCTGCTTGGCCATATGCTTCTCTTCAGAGTTTGGTAGATGGTACCAAACGGCGGCCCCTGGCGATAGATGATCCTAACCTTCCTAATCCACCCATAAAGAGGAGGCAGCTAGGTGGCACAGTGGTTAGAACTCTTAAGCCAGGAGTCAGGATAATACTAGCACCTACCTCCCAGAATTATTGTAAGAATCAATTAAGATAATAATTATAAAAGAGCTTAGCAGTGCCTTGCTTATAGTAAGTGCTATATAAATGTTAGCTATTATTGACTGTGGGTTGCAGCGTTTTCCTCTAATCATGGCTTCTCCTAAGCTCCTAAGATGCAACAGTATTTTGTGTTACTTGTTTGAAATAAATTGCCATTCTCTTAGGCTAGCAGGCGAGGGGCTATTTGCAAGGCAGATTCAGGTCCTTTTGTAACTGGTAGGAATTACAGAAGCAGATGGGCTGTGGGCTCTAAGATCATCTTTAAGGTGCCAGGGAGACATGTTTCTGTGGTAAGTAAATATTTTTCCAGTGTCTGCCTTAAGTGTGTGAAGAGATCATATTTCTTGAAAGATGTAAATAAGCAATGTCAGGAAATAAATATTGAACAGAAACTTCAAAGCACCAAGATCTCTCTTGTTATAGGCTTAGGGGCACCACTGTAAGCGAGCAGAGATAGAGACAGAGGGAAGGCTTTTAGTGGTTGTGGGTTGTTGTTTGGAGGGTGTTAATGGTTTAATGTTTCACATGTTATATGTTTATATAAAAAGGGATATTGACAGAGAAAATGATGCTAAAGTTATCTGCCTAGAAGCTTAGGATTTTTTTTAAACTCACATTTCCCCCCCCAACCCCACCCCTTTTTACCACATTGCAGATCTCGCCTTGCGGATTTTTTCACAAACTGCCAGCCTGAATCACGGTCTGTTAGCAGCTGTCTAAAGGAAAACTATGCTGACTGCCTTCTTGCCTACTCTGGGCTTATTGGTAAGATCTGAAGGGGATTGGGGGGAGCAGGGAGAAAGAAATGTTGTCTGGTTTACAAATGCCCACAAACTCTAACTACCTGACTATCTGTAAAATTGTTCAAACATTCTGTGCTGTGTTTTGACTTATCAGCCCTTTAGGAATACTCTGTAAAGAAAAAGATAATAGATGGAAAGGGACAAAGACTGAAAGTGAGGATCATTAAGGGCAGCAAAAGGGCAAGGGAGGACCTGAGAAGGAGCATGCTATTGAGAAAGCCGAGTTGTTGGAAAATTCACAGGGTAGAGCAACAGAAGACAGAGAATTGAGGTTTTGGATGGAGAATCAAGTCAAAGTTAATTGAGAGTCTTGCTAGAATGGCAAAATTGGGTGTCATTTGATCTTGGAAAATGTCACTTCCCACAAATCACTCTTTGGAAAGAATAATCCTTAGTGTTGGTATCCATCAATGAATTTATCCGGCTAACTCAACCCTCAGTGTTCATGCTTATCATGGTGGACGTAAGCATCCTAGAAAATTGTCTCCTTCCCTTCCAAACCCAAGCATTCTTATAAATATTTAGTGGAAGGTGAGATTAAAATGGCTTTAACTGTTTGGGAAGAAACCAGGAGGGTAGAAATCCTGGATGTAAAATGTAGGCCTGCAGGTAGAAGGGGAGGAAGCTGCATGTAGCAGGAACAGGTGTAATATATGTCAGGAGGCTGTGTGGGTTTCCATTCTATTGTGATTGGCATATTCTAAAACATAGTGAAAGGGATCCAGAGATCAGGGAAATCACAGCTGTCAGAAGTATAATAGCTCTGTCACCACATATGTTTCTAACAGGTGTCAGTGTGGAGGCTGCACAAATCTCTAAACAGGTAAATGGCCCACCAAGAGCAAAGGTAAGGTAGTACTGCAGCCAGAAGGGAGATCCTCTCTAAAAGCCATTGAGGAGATCCAAAAAGTATTGAAACTAACTCAGAAATATTCCCAGTATTTAGGCACACTCATTACTGCAACTCTGCAGTCACTTTTCTTAAAAAGATATATAGAATGTTTTGTCAGGCAAGTCTTATGTGAGCATTTTCATTTTCAGTGACATTTCCAGTTAGCGCATTCTTCTTAGATGTTCTGTATTTGCATTCACTTCTTCTCCCCAGCAAATGAATTAATAATCCTTTATACCAGGGATTATATCTATATTAAGTTTTAATCTAGTTTTTAGCAATATCTTTCTTCGCTTCATGTACCCCTGAATTGGGTAAGAATTTTAAGAATTGGCAAGCTTGAATATCACCAAAGGAAGACATCAAAGACCCTAAGAACAGAGATCTTGTGAGACCAAATCAGTTTAAGGATCTTGGAGATGTTTCACCTGGAAGCCCAAAGACCCAGGGCAGGGGGACATGATAGCTGTGCACTCCAGAATTTGAAGGGCCATCCTGTGGAAGAAGGATTGATAGTGTTCTGCTTAACCCCAGGGGTTGCAACTAGAGCAGTGGATAGAAGATGTCAAGAGACAGATTTCTGCTATGTACAATGACAAAATTCCAAGCAACTGGAGTGGTCTGAATATGGAATGTGTTCCCCATACTAGAGGTCTTCAAGTGGATACTGAATGGTGTTGTCAGAAATACTATAGGAGGCATTCTTGTTCATTAGACTGGGCTTGATGACCTTGGAGGAGTTGGGAGGGTGGTCCTTTCAAACTCTGAAATTCTGTGATTGGAATTATTAGTATTATTTACATGTCAGCATTTTTAAATGATAGAAACTCGGATTTGTATTCTAATTAGCATTCAGGAAGCTGTTGGAAATCAAAAGTAGCCACTGTAGCTAGTGAGACCTCCATAAATTGGAAAAGTAGGACCACTCCCCCCGTGCCTTTCAGAATTTTTACCGTAATCTCCTCACAGCACTTTGAACTGGGCGCCTCATGAGCGCTATGGTATTGTCAAAGTGTTGTGCTGTATGATGGCGACTGAGTCATAAATTCTGTGAGGCCATTCCCTGACTTGGGGACTTGCCATCTCTTTAATTCTTAAACACTTGAAAATCAAGGTAACAGTGAGTGTATGACAACAATGACCACTGTGAAATTCAGCATGCTTTGTACCTCTCCTTCAGTCCTGATTTCTTAGGTTGTTTAATTATAAACTCCTTCAGAGCAGGGGGCCATGGCCTTTTTAAATGTATATGAAGTAGTTGGCATAAAGTCATGCACCCCTGGATGCCTAATAAATAACTCCTTGCCTCACTCACAGATTTTCCCATTCTGTGTTTGGAGTACATAGTCCTTTAAAACCCATGGAGAACTTCTGTAAACAGGAGTGGGAAGCTCGGTATATGCATGCTAGAGGCCACAACTCTCATTAACGCCCACATTCCCTGGCATGGAATGAAGAGCTATATCTAGAAACATTCCTTGTAGCAATGATTCTCAAAGTTTTTATGTGCGTGGGTCACTTTGGTGGAACAGAATAACCACACCAGGCTGTGAGTACTTTCCTTATTCCTCTTTGGCTCAGAGAAAGACAGAGAAAGATTGAGGGAGGGAGGAAGGAAGAAAGGAGGGAAAGAAGGAAAAGAAAAGAAAGAAAACTTCAACAAGATCATTTGAGAAAATGGTGGTGTCTGAGATGAGTCACGTATGAGAGAATAACTAGTTTTCATGACAGTAAATAATTAATAGAAAGCAAGCTTGGCTTCAAAGAAGAGGTATGACAAAATATCCCCCTCCCCTTATTCTTTTGCAGAGGTGAGGACTACACAGGTGTGTATCATTCCAAATACTGTCAGGTTTTTTTTTCAAATGTATTGAAGAATTTTTGCTGATTTTTTTTTCTTTTCCTGTTTGTTTTTTAAACATTCTTTATTATAAGAGGTGGCTCTCTGGGAGGGGAGGGTACAGGGGAAGATTTGAATAATATAAACAAAAGATGTCAATAAAATCTATCTTAAAAATAAGAGAAATAAATTATTAACTTATACCCATTTAGATGTTGTCAGAGATAAGACTGCTAAGGGGACCATGTGGAAGATCTTCTAGGGTCAACAGGGCCTCAGAGCCACTGTTTTAGAGAATTACTTTCATCTACTTTATAATAGAAAGCATCCATACACTTGAATGTGTCATGAGCTTGGATCTTAAAGGCAAAAATTTAGGTTGCCTTCTAAATTTGCTAATGTCATTTAATAATCCTCAAGTGCTTTTGAGGGAACAAAATCAAAGCTCTCAGAAATATCATATTTTACATACACATACACACACGTATATGTATATATGTTAGTACTTTCCTCATTCCTCTGTGGCTTAGAGAGAGACAGAGAAAGATTGAGGGAGGAAGGGAAGAGGGAAGGAAGGAAGGAGGGAAAAAAAGAAATAAGGAAAAGAAAAGCCATCTATTTGGGCAGGTTGATTTTTTTTTTTTGCTTTTGTTTTTGTGTTTTAAGAAAGCTAAGGAGTTGCTTCTCAGCTCATGCATGCATTCTCAACCAGTTCTGTTATGCTCCAAGTAGTCCATTATATTTATGAAGAGAAACAAGCTGCTCATGGAATTCAGATTTAATTTTTAAGGCAAATGTGTAAATTACCTTATTCTGAGACAAAATTTTATAAAAATGCACTGTTTACTATAATTTCCTGTTCAACTACCATAATTCTAACTACCTATCAGCCAGCCGGCCATTGACCGCATGAACAACATATTTCTTTTGATGTGATCAAAAGGTCCGTGTCTTTATTGAATGTGACTGAGCATTGTACATGTTCTGGTCTGTTCTTCAGGCACGGTGATGACACCTAACTATATAGATTCTAACAGCCTCAGTGTGGCCCCATGGTGTGACTGTAACAACAGTGGTAATGACTTAGAAGAATGCCTGAAATTTTTGAATTTCTTCAAGGACAACATGTGTCTCAGTGAGTAATTCATGGTTCATCTAAGAAGTTGGGTTGTGTTTGTTTCCCAGTGACTTTCTCTCTTTTTCCCGCCTTTAACATTGGTGTGGTAACAATCTCATTTGTATATTTGGCCACATAGGATAATATGAAGCTCATTTGAGCTGTAGAACGTGGACCCATGCAACTGCATGTTGCTGAGTCGCTGAATCTAAGAGTCCAAGGCAGACAGTTCCAGATATCTGAAGCCATTAATATGTGTCTTGGGTCGGGGGCAGAGGAAGGAAAAGAGGAGAATTGATACACAAGGGACCTTAAAACCTGAGTGGAATTTACAGGATGAGAAACTCTGAGAAACTCAGGTAGATTAAATGGGGGATAAATCACAAAGGATTTTGATGGAAGAAGAAAAAATGTTAACAACAAAACTTTTTCAGATGGTCAGGTTTTGACTACAGAAATGGGTCATCAATATTTCTTTACCAGAATGAGCTTACAGTAATGCAGTGAGCAAGGTCACTGTGCAGACGACTTGTATTACTTCAGCCATATTCACATGGTACACATTTCCTCTTTCTAATTTCTAATTTGGGTAGGTAAACAGTTCTCAGCTATTAAGTAGCAGAAACCAGTCAACCCCAGACTGAGTACCAAGTTAGTCATCTTTCTGTCATCACCTAAGATTTACTGTCTCATTCCCAGTCATGTGTTAGAAAAGATTGAGGCTGCTTCAGTATCAATATACGCTCCAAATAACGTAAATGATAATAAGGATAGTTTTCTATTCATCCCTTAGGTCTAAAGAGCTGGACCCAGGCATTTGTCTTTAAAGCTGCCCTCTGTGTCTGTATGAATTCTGGAGAAAATAAGATGTGATTAGATGCTAGAAATCAAGATGGAATCCCTCCTCGTATGTAAGATTCCTTAAATGCCAGCCTCCTTCCTCATTATACAGTGGGCATACAAGTATTTCCTGTGGAAAGATCACTAGGCTCAGAAGACCTAGGTTCAAGCCCCACTGTTGCATTTTCTTAGTTAACTGTAAGGAAAATCTGACTCTTAATTTCCTAAAGTGTAAAATGAGGATTAATGTTAGAAAATTAGAGCTCATCTAATCCAGCCCCCAGGAAAGCAAGCCTCAAAAAGGCAAATTATCATGCCTGAATTCATAGAACTGGTAACAATTAGGATTTGAGTCCAGATCTCATGACTTAAAATCCAGCACCCTTTTCACTATTAAACTGTTACGCAATATAGAATTGTGAGGAAAATTATTTGCAAATTGCACTGTTTAATTTGTGCTGTTATTAAGTAGAAACCAGTCTTTACTCCTAAAACTCTTAATCCAAGTAATTTATCTCCTTATGCCCTAGACATTTTATTCATTCAACAAAAAGTGACCAGATGTCTACATTGTTCTCTCTAATGTGCTAGGCACTATACCCACTCATTTAATGTTACATTTTGGGGGCCTGAGTGGATGGAAATCCAAACCCACTAATTCCTAAGGTCTGAGATGCGGAGCCATCCCCACCCCTTCCTGGATTCTTCATGTAAATCTGTAGCAAGGAAATGTGTAAGCACATTGATTATGACTTGGGATTTTTGCTTTGTCTTGATTTTTCAAAGCATAATAGTCCCTGCTTCTTTTCTGTCCTATGCTCACTTCTGGCAGAACACCACCTTTAGTGGAAATAAAACAATGACAGTAAAGGTCAGTGTGAGAAAAGAAATCATATTCATCCTGGCTGGGGAGCTTCTCCTTTACAAATACATAAAAGTTGGTTCTGGTAAATAGTATTGTAGTCTCTGGGTAGGGGAAATGGGGAAAGTTTGGGTCATTGTTTCTAATGACTTTTCAATACCAATAAAAGCTGGGTCTGCTGTAGAGGCCAAGAACCTGTTAAAATTATTCACAGTAGTTCATTCATACCTCATTCACAAGTGACGGTAAAAAGGCCTGAGAGCCTGACTGTTAAATCTAGTTAGTGGAAAAAAGGGCTTTATAGCTCAAAGAGATGTTGGCACTTAGGGAAGTACCATCCCAGACAACTAAAATGGACTTGGGATGTGATTCATAGGGATCATTGTGGTGGTTAGGAAGATCCTGAACTCAAATCTGAGATCCTGTGTTTACTACCTTTGTGACTTAGGTAATTCTCTTAACCTCTTTGGACCTCAGTTTTCTTCATTTCTAAAATGAGGAGGTTGGATTCTATTATCTCCAAGATTCCCTCCCCCTCTTGTTCAAGATTGATGAATACCCCTTTTAAAACCAAAATCTTTAAGACAAGGGGTCAGCAGGGCAGCTAGGTGGCACAGTGGATAGAGTACCGGCTCTTGAGTCAGGAGGACCTGAGTTCAAATTTGGCCTCAGACACTTAGTAGCTGTGTAACACTGGGCAAGTCACTTAACCCCTATTGCCTCTAAAAATAATAATAATAATAATAATAAAATGATGGGTCAGCTCAGTACTCTAAAATTTTTGTTAAGATGTGGCTTTTACTAGAGTGCCTTGGATATCATTACAGCAGCACCAAGAATTCAGCCTATAGTTGGGTCATAGAGGTAGAGCTTGAAAGGAATTTAGATGTCATCTAGGTCAATTTTTTTTTTTAAATACAGATGAAAATACCAAGGCCTATAAAGGTTTAGGAACAATTCTTAATTAAAATTTAGAAAGAAGGAAGAGGTCATTCACAAGTCTAATTCACATTAAATATAAGGAGAAAAAGAGGATATTACAGGAAATGTAGCTTTGGTAGTGCAGAGTTTAAGAAAGCTCTTGAATTTTAATTTAATTTAATTATCTTTAATTAAGATAATATCATAATCTCATTTGAAGATGAGTTTAAGATTCTAATTTCAGGATTGATATGCAAGTTGGTGCTTTTCTATATGGTGAGCAAGACTCCAGGCGAGTTACTTAACCTCTGTCTACTTCATTTATTAAATGGGAGGTGATAATAGTATCTACCTGCCAGAATTGTTGTGAAGATGTTGTTGCTATTTAGTTGTTTTCAGTCATGTGCAACCCTTCATGACCCCATTTTGGGTTTTATTGGCACAGAAACTGGAGTGGTTTGCCATTTTCTTCTTCAGCTCATTTTACAAATGAGGAAACTGAGGCAAGCAAGGTTAAGTGACTTGCCCAGGGTAACACAGCTAGTGTCTAAGGTTAGCTCTGACCTCAGGTCTTCCTGATTCCTGGCCTGATGCCACCTAGCTGCTGTTGTAAAGATACAATAAGAGAATATTTGCATAGTGCCTTGTAAACTATGTTAAATAATATTGTTGTTGATGCTCTTGTTGTTGTTATTATTTGTTGTTAATAACTGAACATGGCTGTCTTGTTGACCACCTGTCTAAAAGAGCAAAGAACCCTTGTTTTTGCATTCAGTTAGGATAATTGTTTGTCTTTGTCCTGCTGTCCCTAGTCCCATTTTTCACCTGTTCAGCTGTGTAGAGATTGCAAGGGCATAAAAACATTTATAATGATTTGCAGCAGTGCCTTCTAACATGAGAAACATAAAAAAATTTTAAAAACAAGGTCCCAATTTAGTGGAACTTAAAGGATAACAACTGTAGAACAAAATGTCACTCCAAGAGGAAGATTAGACTTAAATTATTCCATCTTGTATATAGAAAAATGCCAGCTAAGAATGCTATATTAACAGTTTGTGCATTCAGGTCCCAAATGAAAATGTCTGATTTCTTATACAATGAATGTGGAATAAGAAATTCCTAAGTCCATGCCAATTCCCTGAAGACCTGATTAAAAACTGTTTTTCTATTCATTTGGGGGCTGGGGACTAAGGGGAACAACGCACAACCAATAGCCTCTTTGCCATTAAAAAAAGAAAAACACAGTTTAATCCCAGGAAAATTATAATAAGCTTTTAAAATTTTACATTGTAAACTTTTGGCTTAAGCAGCTCTGCTGTTACTTAATTATGCAGATTTTGTTTGGAAGACTAGGAGAAAAAGAATAAAAGATCACCTTCCTTTAACCATCACATATTTATGAAGTTTGAGTCAGTTGTTGTTTTAACAAAATGAGTTGCTTTAAGTGAATAAATTAATATGGTCTTGTCAAAATTGGTGCCTTCATGTCATTGAAGTATCTGAATCTTTCAGTTAAGGCCATTTGGGACTTGAAAATATTAATTTGTTTTTGCCTTAAAGGTCTGACTTTCTCTCAAGGTTATGCATGGAAGACATGAAAGGTCACAAGCCATAACAGAGTTCATGCTCCTATGACCATATTTCCAAAGTACTTGACAGATACATATTTCAGAAAGAATAATTTCATCGAAAGAAGTCACTTGATGAACTGAGAACACTTTCTTTATTTGGGCCACTTGTGCTACTTGTAATACTATATGACCTTGACTTTGAAACTGGATTCTCTCTGTTTCCCTACAGAAAATGCAATCCAAGCCTTTGGCAATGGCTCTGATGTGAACGTGTGGCAGCCGGTCCTCCCCGGACAGACCACCACAGCCACGACCACAACAACCTTCAGAATCAGGAGCAACAAGTCTCTGGGCTCAGGGTCAGAGAATGAAATCTCATCCCATGTTTTGCCACCTTGTGCAAACCTACAGGTAAAAAGATGTGATAAGCCCATCATTGCAGAAGTGAGCTGTGAGAGGAGAGTGTAGAAGAGACACACTGGTCAATGGAGAATATCCTGTGAGGTTATGCTACACGTCCACAAATGTGTGGATGGATGCATTTGTTTTAAGTTGTAGGGCCGGCATCTTACAGTGTTGTCTCCGGGGCAGTGAAGTATAACAGGAAGGAGGTGGTGTCAGGAGATACCTGAGTTTATATTTTGGCTTCACGTTAGACGCTTCTCAGTGCTGGGATCATGAGCAAGATGTGACTTTTTGAAGCTCCATTTTCTCACCTGTAAAATGGAAATGATAATAACTTTAGTACTTACCTCACTGGGTTGTTTTAAGAATCAAATGAGATAATGTATATAAAGCGTCAAGGGCCTTGCCAACCTGAAAGCATCATGTAGAAGGGTCAGTTATTTGGCCATGACTAGCAAGTAATGAAGCTGGGACTGGAGCTCATTCCACCCAATTCCAAATCTAGTGTAATATCGCTCTTTCTCTTTGGTTCACACTTGACTTCTTGTCTACTTCTTATCTACTTTTCTGCTTTTTCTCATTCAGTTCAGTATTTTTAAAAATGTCATTGTGATATCCCTATTAATGGCACATAAATCACAAGTGGCCAGAAAATTGTATAACCTGTCATCCTAAAGGGATTGAGCATACAGTGTTCCTAGGGCAGCTAGGTGGTACAGTGGACAGAGTGTTGGGCCTAGAGTCAGGAAGACCTGAGTTCAAGTCCAGCCTCAGACACTAGCTGTGTAACCTTGGGCAAGTCACTTAATTCTGTTTACCTCAGTTTCCTCATCTGCAAAATGAACTGGAGAAGGAAATGGCAAATCCCTCCAGTGTCTCTTCCAAGAAAACCCCAGTGACTTGACAACACCAGCAACAATATGGTATTCCTGAAGGTTCATAGGATCTTAGATTTAGAGCTGGAAGAGACCTTCGAGGTCATCGGGGCCAGCCCTGATTTTATAGATGAAATGAGTCACAGAGAGTCTAGATGTCTTACCCAAAGTCATACAACTAGTATTGTATCTGAGACAGGATTTGAACCCAGGTCTTCTGGCCTCCAAGTCTAGTGTCTCATCCACTAAGCTTAAGTGAATGCTCTGGACAAAGAGAAGCCAGGCGTGTTTGCTTGTTTTCGTTTGTTTTGGTGAGTGTGCTGACCATTGCACAATATGCCATATATGTGGTACTATATCATAGATTTGGTACTTTATTATAGCATTTTGCATGTAGTTCTTAATAAATGCTTCATTCATGCATTCATTCATAATGGAAAAGAATTCTGGGTATAGAATCAAAGGATCTGGGTTCCAGTCTTGCTTCTGCTGCTTATTATCTCTCTGGCCTTGGTGGAATTATTTTGTCTCTTTGTGACCTTATCTAAAATGAGGTGATTAATCTAGGTGATCAGTACAATTACTTTTCACCCCTAGATATGTGACATTGTTCATATTTCTTGAACATCATAATTAAATTGTTAGATCCTTTGTTGAAGAGAAGACATGCCCTCTGAGAGCTGTTTGCAGAGTTCTCCCCCAAATGGGCATTGAACAAGTCAGTTATCGGCCTATGCTTAAGATTTATCATTCTACTTTTTGTTGCCTTAAGGAAATGCTGCATGCCAGGAAATTCACAAAGCCTGCATTTTGCACCCTTCAGTGATATGGATGGTTTGGCTGCACTGAGAACCAATATTTCAGCACCAACACATAAATACCCCTCTTTTCAAAGAAGGAATTTGTGTTACCACTGCTGGGTTGCCCTGGCAACATCAAGAAACACACGAACTCTATTCCCAAGAAACAGTGCCTTTCCTTCCCCTATATTAGTGACAAAAACTCAACTTCATCAATAGAGAGAAAAGTAACAATTAAAGTGTGGTGTTTATCTTCGGGATTGCCATTTAGCTTCTCAGCAGAGAGACAAAGTAGAAGTGAGGGGCTGGAGACAGTGAGAAAAAACCCTTCCAAACCACTTCTCCCTCTCCCATGATATACCAGATTGAGTGGTAATTATTCCTTGGATTTACAGAGTGTTTTGCTCCCTGAGAGCCAATTAAGTGTTTCTTCTACATACCTTATCTTTTTTAGACTTACAGCTACTGTGTGTGTCCTACAGGTCTGGGACAGGGCAGATAGCACCGTCCCCTTACTGTGTTCAGTGAAATTAATACTGTTGTAGAGCCAGTGATTTAGCTGATAAATTGACTTCTACATTTTCTGAGCAGAAGTCAGAGAGGGAGAGGAGAGAGAGAGAGAGAGAGAGAGAGAGAAATTTTGTGTGTGTGTGTTGAATAGCACCTCTTCTTTTAAATACATTTTCACATTTCATTGGCTCATTGAGCCATGCTGTGAGGTATAGGAGGCAAGTGTCACTTCTTTATTATTGATGAGGGAGCTATGATGTATAAAAGTTTAGGTGCTTTGCATAAATTTACCTCAGCTTTGTGATTATGCTGGGACTTGAACCCAGGCCCCTAGAATTCTAGCACAGTGAGCTTTCTGCTATATCATCCTTGACCAAACCTCAAATAGAAATAGAAAACATCATACCAAAGCTGGAAAAAAGGATAGGGAAAATGATCCTCAATCTTTACTCATTAGCATTGGCCTAAAGTAAAAGACATTGGGAGCAAGTAGAATCATTGCTCACTATGGAAAATAGGACGTATCAGTCTATCATTAAGGTGGGGAAGAAGAGGAATATAAATTGAAAACAATGCCCTGAATTTGAAATTGGAGGACAGGCATTAAAATTCCAGCTCTGCTCTTTACTACTTGTATGACCTTGGGCAATTCCCTTTACTTCTGGAGCTTTTATTATCTTCATCTGCAAAATGAGTGAATTGGCCTAGATGAGATCTAAGGCCTTCTCTTTCTCTATGACATACTGGATTTCCTGAGGGCAGAGCCTAAGATTTTTGAATAATGCAATATGCCATTTATTCAATAATCCAGAGCTTGGGCCAGGAAATTTGGATGCAAAGTTACCTATTAGTGGCCAGGCAGCAACACCCTTCTTTTCTTTCTGATTTAAAAAGCTGGTGAAAACTTTTCTAGTTAATCAATTTGTGAGAACTGAAAATTTGTTTCGAGGCTGACCTGTAGGTAGGGATATATGGTTCAAGGAGTCAGGAGGAAAAAATAGTGAATGGAATGGGAGGAGTAAAGGGGAAGTGTTTATCCCCCTGTACTTCATTTCTGTGCCTATTTTTAGAGATGTGGTCAATGCTTATAATTCTCAAGTTGGCTTCTCTCTCTCCCCCTTCCCCTTTTGGTCCAGTTCTTCTCTTCCTTATCCCATATGAATTCCCAATTGCCAAGGGTTTCTAGAAATGCCCTGAAAAGTTTCCATTGTCCTGCCCTGGTGTGTCTTTACACAGAATAGAACTAACTTGAATCAGTCCTGGTTCCACTTGTAACAGATTTGGACCAAGTCTTCTGCTTTGGCAGATCTAAAGTTCACATCCCATGAGAAGTGTCCCCTTGTAATATTTCTAAATATACAATAATAATGCAAAAGGTCGTGGGGAGTTGAGTTCTGTCTTAACATTTGAGATAGATTTCCCTTTTGGAAGGGAAAAAAAAAGTAGAGAACAAACATTTTGAAGTCTGCTTTGAAAGTATGATTCTCAGTAAACCAAGCTTAATTATGTTTCAAGACACATCTGACCATCAAGGTGGCATTAAGATATGGTGTGTATACAGTATATCTGCAGTGCCTATTAAATGGACTTTTTTGCATAAAAAAGGAAAAGTTGATTGATTAGTATAAAATGTCATAGAAATGTCCAAGTTCTAACCCCCTGAGGTTTTAAAATGCAGGGTATTAGGTAACCTGCCAAGCTGCCATGTCAGAGCTAATTGGCAGTCATATTAGCAACAGGACTGGCACCGTCTCTGCTATTGTTGGCACATGTCTTTGACTTGTACAAAGTGGCCACGTGGAAAACAAAGAGACATTAATAATTCCACCCATTTATTTCATCTTCTATACACTTGAATGGTCTGCTAACTAGAAAAGTCTTGGGATATTTAAACAAAGTGGACTGTACTTGTCGCTTATTTAAAGTCAATATTTTAGGAGATGTAAGCTTTTGAAAAATTTCCATTTTGCATCATATACTTGATTTAGTACGAGGGATTTTAAGTGACAATCTCAATGCATTATTTGTATGCCTCGGGTTCCAGGAAAGTGAAGAAGTCCGAGGTTCAGATTATTGTGTTAAAATAAGCAATTTGGGAGAAATATCACTTTGGGGACCTGATATTCACCCCAGTCCCGAGCCCCAAAGACATAATTCATGCATTCTTATCCGTTGCAGCTTCCCAGAGGAGTGTATTACAACTTAATATTTGATATTTATATAATGCTTTAAATGTTACAGAAATGCCATACATAATTTATCTCATTTGAGATAATTTATCTCACTGGTCCCCCTGAGGTAGGCACTACAGGTTATTTATTAAACCTCATTTTACTATTGAGAAAATAGACTTAAGAAGGTTATGTGACTTGCCAGTGGTCACACAGCCAATAGTTAGAGGTGATTTGAACCCAGGTCTTTGTGTTCCCAACTCCATAATCCTTGTGAAGTATGTAGTCTAAGAATTATTCTCATTTTACAGAGGACGGTAATGAGGCTCAAAAGGTTAAGTGAGACCTACTCAAGAATTAACATCCTGTAATAGGCACCCCTTAAATGAGATTCATAAGATAAGTCATGATATTGAGAGCTAAAAAGGACTTTAAAGGCTGTTAGCTCCAATCTCCTCATTTTATACATGAGGAAACTGAGGCACAGACTTACCCAGGATCACACAGCTAGTAATTGTCTGAGGCAGGATTCAAACTCAGGTCTTCCTGAAACAAAATCTAGTGCTCTATTGAAGTCTGCTTTGAAAGTATGATTCTCTACCTGACTCTTGGGGCCAGAAATTGGTTGTTTCTCGAGATTCTTGGTGAAG